CACAGTTTGTGGTATTCCATCCATCCAGGTGCCGCAAAGATGTAATAGGATTTGAGACAGCACTATCGGTGGAGGCGGATGAAGAAAGATATAGTTGGGTTGTAGCTCGGTGCCTCAATTGTCAGCAGGTAAAGTATGAGCACCAGAGAGCGGGTGGTTTGCTTCAGCAGATAGAGATTCCGGAGTGGAAGTAGGAGCGGATCACCATGGACTTCGTAGTTGGACTCCCACCGACTTTGAGGAAGTTCGATGCCATTTGGGTGATTGTGGATCGGCTAACCAAGTTTGCGCACTTCATTTCTATGTGTACTACCTATTCTTCGGAGCGGTTGGCGGAGATTTATATCAGGGAGATTGTTCGTCTGCATGGTATTCTAGTTTCTATCATTTCAGATAGAGGTGCTCAGTTCACATTACGGTTCTAGAGGGTCGTACAGATAGAGGTACTCGGGTGGAGTTGAGCATAGCATTTCACCCCCAGATGAACGGACAGTCCGAGCGCATTATTCATATTCTTGAGGATATGCTTCGTGCGTGTGTGATGGAGTTTGGAGGTTCTTGGAATCAGTTCTTGCCACTGGCGGAGTTTGCCTACAACAACAGTTATCAATCCAGCATTCAGATGGCACCGTATGAGGCTTTGTATGGAAGGCGGTATAGATCCCCAGTGGGTTGGTTCGAGACGGGCGAGGCTAGATTATTGGTCACAGACTTGGTTTAGGATGCCTTGGAGAAGGTTAAGGTGATTCAGAATAGACTCTGTACAGTCCAGTCCAGATAGAAGAGTTATGCGGACTTCGTGATGTTTCCTATATGGTTAGAGAGCGAGTTTTGTTTCGGATTTCACCTATGAAGGGCGTTATGAGATTTGGGAAGAAGGGTAAATTGAGTCCGAGGTTTATTGGTCATTTTGAGGTACTACGACGTGTTGGGGAGGTTACTTATGAGCTTGCCTTACCTCTCAGCTTGGCAGAAGTTCATCCGATATTTCATATTTCGATGCTCCGGAGGTATCACAATGATCTGTCGCACATGTTGGATTTTAGTTCGGTCCAGTTGGACAAGGATCTATCCTATGTTGAGGAGCCAGTGGCTATATTGGATAGGTATTCAAAAGTTGAAGTCAAAAAATATTGCATCAGTGAAGGTTCAGTAGCGGGGTCAGCCGGTCGAGAAGGTGACTTGGGAGACCGAGCAGGATATGCACAGCCGTTACCCTCATCTTTTCACCACTTTAGGTATGCCTTTTATGCTCGTTCGAGGACTAATGAATGTTTTAAGAGGGGGAGGATGTAACGACCCGGCCGGTCGTTTTGAGTATTAACACCCTGATCTCTATTAACTATTTTTCCCGTGTTTGTTTTTGCTATTGTAAGTTGCCGGGATGATTCGTTTTGAGTTTCAAAGTGTTTTGGGACACTTAATCCCTAAATGAGAGCTTAAGCTTTAGAATTTGGACCGTAGTCGGAACCATGTGAAGACAGCCTTGGAATGGAATTCCATCAATTCCGTTAGCTGAGTTGAGTGATTTCAGGCTTAGGGCGTGTTCAGATTGTGTTTTAGAGGTCTGTAGCTTATTTATGCTTGAAATGCCGAAAGTTGAATTTTTGAAGTTTCCGGATCGATAGTGAAATTTTGATATCGGGGTCGGAATCTGATTTCGAAAGTTAGAATAGCTTCGTATTGTTGAATTTGACTTGTGTGCAAAATTTGGGGTCAATCGGACATGGTTTGGTTGGTTTCAGCATTAGTTGTAGACTTCTTGAGATTTCAAGTTCATTAGGTTTGGATTGGAGGGTGATTCGTGGTTTTAGTATTGTTTGATGTGATTTGAGAGTTGGACTGAGTCCGTATGATGTTTTAGGATTGGTTGGTATGTTTGGTTGAGGTCCTGGGGCCCTCGGGTGAGATTCGGATGCTTAACGGAAGTTGAATTGGACTTAAGCATTTGCTGATATTGTTGAACCTACTATAACCGCACCTGTGTATGTGAGACCGCAGGTGCGGCGCAGCAAAACCGGCTTGGTAGCCGTAGAAGCGAGTTTGGCCTTGTGCTCCAGGGACTGCAGATGCGGTTGGGAAACCGCAGATGCGTGACCGCAAATGCGGCCCAGTGATAGCAGATGCGGCCCCAGCTCGGATAAGTAGATTTCTCACCTGCGATGCTTTTCCCACATGTGCGGGACCGCAGATGCGCCCCATGACCGCAGATGCAATAATCGCTTGGCAGAAATATGAAAAATCGAGGGATTTGAGTTCATAACTTCAAAAATCAAATTGGAGCTCGGTGGAAGGTGATTTTTGTGGGGTTTTTGAAGAGATGATTAGTGGGTATTGATTCCTAACTCCTTTTTTATTATATTCCCTTAATCTAAGCTTAGTTTTATCATTTAATTTCGGATTTGGGTGAAAAAAATGAGAAAAGGTCTTAGGCCAAATTTTGGGAATTTTATTGAGATTTTGGTATCGAATTTGAGTGATTTTGGTATGGTTAGATTCGGGTGTTCATAATTTGTGACTTTTATCCGATTTCGAGACGTGGGTCTAGGAAGAATTTTTGGGCGTTTTTCTATTTTCTTGCCTTAGCTTCGATTCCTTTAGCTAAACCTATTGTTTGTAGTTATATTACATTATGAAATTGATTTGATTAGATTTGGCCCACTCGGAGTTGGATACTCGTGGCAAGAGCGTAATTTCGGATTGATTGAGCTTGGTTCGAGGTAAGTTGCTTGCCTAACTTTGTGTGGTGGAACTACCCTTAGGATTTTGGAACTGTTGCTATATGAATACCGTATACGTGAGGTGGCGAGTGCGTACACGTGCTAATTGTTGAAAAACCCTGTTTTCATTAAATACTTGTCTTTGTTTTCTCCTTTAATTGGACAATACTAATATGCGAAACTTTCTGTTTAGCTTAGAAAAGCATGCTTGTGTGACTTAACTGTCTTACTTGCTTTAACTGCTTACCTGGATTTTGTGCAGCATATTTAGAGTAGAAATTTCCTGTTTTCCTGATACATACTTGAATAGAATTATAGGAATTTTTTTTTGAAACTGTTGTGTATTTACTTTGGGACTACGGATCGGTATTCCGGGAGATTCCCCTGCGTGTTTACTTTGGGAATACGGATCGGTATTCCGGGAGATCCCCCTGTACTTTTATAATTGGGACTACAGAACGATGTCCCGGGAGATTCCCCCTATGCTGGATATTTACTTTGGGACTACGGATCGGTATTCCGGGAGATTCCCCTGCATATTTATGATTTGGACTACGGTACGATATCCGGGGAGATCCTTTGTACATTTAGGTTTGGGACTACGGGATGATATACTAGGATATCCCCTGTTGCTATCTCTGTGTACCGAGTTATATTCTTTTTGTGATTTTATTCTTTATCGACTGTTAGTATTTTAATTATACTATCACATTTCATATTGTTTTACCTTGTTATATGTATATAACTAGTAGGGCCCTGACCTTCCTCGCCACTACTCGACCGAGGTTAGGCTTGGCACTTACTAAATACCGCTGTGGTGTACTCATACCCTTTCCTGTACATGTTTTTCGTGTGCAGATCCAGGTTCTTCTGCTCAACCATATTATCAGTGAGCCGAGGCAATTACAGAGACTTTGAGGTATATCTGTCGCATCCGCAGACCGAGAAGTCCCTCTCTATTCTCCCTTTTAGCTATAGACCTTCTGTAATTACTTTTGTTTAGACTTCTGGAGTTAGAATACTATGTATTTTCTCTAGTTTGTGATTCATGAGATTCCGGGTTTTGGGAGTATTATTATTGGTCGAGTGTGTTATTATTGTATATGCCGAGCAGTATTTTTAAACACTTTATCTATATTTACCTGTTAGATGGTTAGTTGTACTTTTAAATTCCTTTTTTTGCAAATTATTTGGTTTACCTAGTCGTAGAGACTAGGTGGCGTCACGACAATTCACAGAGGGAGAACTTGGGTCGTAACAATTTATTAGAAAAACAATTGTTTGATATGCTAAAGACCAAAATTTTAATGGCACAGAGGCCTGGTGAAGAATGGTCAATGCAGTGTCAATGATGTGGCAGTGCTTTCTTTCAGCTGAGTCAACCACTCGAGGCGTGTATGGAAGACTTGAAAGATATAGGATACCATTTTGATTTAGAATAGATTTTAATGATATTTATTCACAACCGCCATATGATAAAGTGCTTCAATTGAGTGATTAAATTGATTTTTGATTAAATGAAACAAATTGATGAATATGTTCTTGACATCTGACTTACTTTTAATAGGAAATAGACATGCGTACTTGGTGATATGATCAATAAATATGATATAGAACATGAAGCCATCAAAAGATTGAATAAGATAGGGTCACCAACATCATAATATAAAATTTTAAAAGGTCTAGAACTTCTAATTGAGTTTTCACCAAAAGGTAGGTAATAATTTTTATTATGAAAACACAAGTTACAGAAGGTAAAAGTGTCACAACTATTCACAGATAGTTAAACTGTAGATACGCGGGATCTGGTGACGTGAGGTTGCAGATGTCTAAGTCGAGCATGCCAAAGGTGCAATATGAAAGTGATTGAGGTGGAGAAATGAACACTTGGAATGGTGGTTGATTGTGGTTGGCAATGAGACTGGTCCTTTGGAAATTCATACAAATTAGGGGTGGGCATAAAATCCAAAAAATTGAATTTCGAACCGAACCGAATTATTTTAATATTTTGGTATTGATTTATTCGGTATTTCGGTATAATTTGGTTTTAATTTTTTGGTTATTCGGTATTTTGGTACGGTCCTCGATATTGAGTTTTTGATATGTTGGTATACCAAAATACCAAATTATTTAAGTATTCATGTGCTTCCTAGTCCTACACTGCCCAGCGCCCACAACCCAAAGTTTTCACTTTGTCTTTCTAGCCCAAAATTTTAACTTTGTTACCCCTAATCCAATAAGACTAAGCCCAAGTCCCTTACTCTCTTAATAGCTTTCCCTTATTTCTAACGATATAAATTAGGAATTAGGATTAGGTTTCTCTCTACAAACAACAGATTGTCTACGACTACGTGCTGCGACTGCTCAATGTCGAGTGCGACTGTGCGAGTACAATAGAGATGGCGACTTCACGACCTCGACGCTGATGACTCTCTCCTCCATGACTCTCTACTCAATTTCTCTCAACTCATCTCTTAGAATCAAATAGAGTTAGCCTCACGAACTGTTTACATAAATTAATTTGAGGTTTGTATCTTTCTTCTTTAACTTCTCGTTATTCTCTTTTGTTCTTCTTGGGTCCGTATTTGTTATCTAGCCCCTATGAGTATGTGGTATGGATATTGGAACTTTTAGCACTCGTATCTGCTTTAGGGATTTATAATTGGTTTTGGATGATTTTTTTTTAATTTGATCCCCACGAAACCCAAATATAGTATATTTCTTGTAATTGCTTTAATATAACCTCGGTTTAGGATTATTTTTGTTTTGATTTGCATGTGTCATCTTTGTTGCTGAGAAATTACTGATAGAAATTAGTATATCTTTGCTTTAATATAATTAAAGGTGCAATCTTTGCTAATAAGAAAGTAACTAATATGGTGTATATCTATTTCTATTTAAACTCAACTCTAGTCTCAATTTGTGTTTGTATATGTTTTAATTTTGTATAGATGGCGGATAAAAGTAGAGCAAGTGATGTTGGTTCAACTGAAAGCTTAACTATTACTGAAGATAGCAATGCCAACACAATTTATACTCAAGATTCTAAGAAAAGAAAAGCCATAGAACCTAGATCCACTGTTTGGAATCATTTTGATAAATTTGAGGTAAATGGGGGTCGGTAAAGCGAGGTGTAGATATTGTAAGCAAGCTTTTGCTACCAATTCATCTAGGAATGGAACAAGATTGATAAATTATTTGACTAGATGCAAAGAATACCCAACTAACATTGATAAAGATAATACTCAAATAAGGATATAGTTTCAATCTTGCCAAAAGGATGGATGATTGCTTTAGAAATTTGATCAAGAAATGGTTAGGAAGGATTTAATTGAGATGATAGTTATTGATGAACTATCATTTAGCTTTGTAGAAAAGGAAAACTTTATGAAGGTTATGAAAATAACTCGACCACTATTTTGTCTTTCTTCTCGTAGAATAATAACAAGGGATTGTTATAAAGTTTATGGTGAATTGAAGCAAAATCTAAGGTCTTTTAGAGAAGCACAACCAAAAAATACTTCACAACAGATACATGGACTTCATTGCAATGAATAAATTATATGTGTTTGACAACCCACTTCATTGATAGGGACTGGAAGTTGCAGAAAAGAATACTAAATTTTTGACGTATCAATAGTCATAAGGGTGAAAAGATAGCTAAAGCCATTTGTAATTGTTTGCTTGAATGGAAATTATACAAGGTGTACACTGTGAGCACGTGATTTTTGCCCTATGAGAACTACTCCCAAAAATTCAAAATAAAATGGTTTGGTGTTGTTTGTGATTTATTTGTATTGTTGTATGTACATATTTGTTTCTACTTTAATTAAGAAAAATACAAAAAATATGTGTTGCATGTGCATTTAGGAGTTAATTATGCATTTTTGACATTGATTAAACCATGGCCTACTTTAAAGAATGAAAATCACAAGAAATATGAATTCCGGTAGTTTTGCCATTTTTATTGTTTAATTGCGCGATTTTATTTTTCGATCTCGTGTGTTAATTGTTGTTTAGGGTTAATTAATATCTTTTTAAAATAATTTTGGTTTTGCAAGTCAATTTAGGAATTTTTGGTTTTAGGAATTAAAAAAGAAAATAGAAGAGAAAGAAGAAAACAAGAGAAATTTCGGACTGGGCTAGTTTTTGAAAAGGAAACATTCAGGCCCAATGTCACACCCCATGTCCAGGCCCAACCGGCCGGTCCAAGAGACCATACCAAACGACGCCGTTTCATCGCCAATCAATCTCGACCGTTCAATCATCCAATCCAACGGTCCAAGATTCCCCTCCCATAACCCGTCTCCACCCGACCCGCTTACCCCGAACCACACCCGCCCCAGCTAAGCCTAAACGACCCCGTTTGGCTTAAATGGCTTAATCCGGACCGTTGGTTCCCATCATCCAACGGCCCAGATTAATCACCTGATTCCAATATATCAAAACACCCAAACCCCCTCTCACCCGCCTCATTTCCACCCCTTCGTCTCCAAGAACCAGAGACCAAACAACCCTTCACCAAACCCTAGCCGCCCTCGTACCCCATCGCCTGAAAGCCGGCGGCAACAACACCGGTGACCACGAAACTAACACCAAGGCACCCCCTGACCACCCTCGTTATGGATCTGTTAACCGCTTTCCTCGAATCAACCTCCAGCTTCTCGAATCTTTAATCGAAGATTCGAGCAGAACCTAGATCTACCCCAACTAGTCCCAAACTCATACCGGACATGTCCCTGACCTCCCTCGTTACCAAACCACCATTGGTTTGGTTCGAATCAGACCAGAACCACTCGAACCCCAAATCAAATCCCCAAGAACCCTAGAAAGCCAGAGGTTGAAATCTGTCCCAACTGAAGGATGGTTTAGGGTCTAATTGACTTTAGTCGAAGTGTTCTCAGTTGAGAACACTCGATTAAGGTCCATTCGACCTCAAACAATTTGAGTTTGAGTTCGAATCAGGGTCGTCCCGGTCCCGAGTTCTTGAGGTATTTTCCCTTTCCTGTTTGTTCCAGTTTGTATTTGTTTATTCTGTTTATTTGTTTTGTTTAGTTTTATTGGTTTTTCAATTTCTTTTGTCGACTGATTCTGCCCATCTTCAATGACCCTTTATTTGGTCAAACTTTTTCTGGTCATGGTTAATGAATGTGATAAAACTATATAATCGATTTGAATGAGTGTCGTCGATTAGTTAAGTTTTATTATGAATCCTTGTTTCCATCAATACGACTCGAATCACCTGTGTGCATGTTCGATTCTTATTTGCTGTATGTGTTGTAATTCGTGTAGTTGATTGAATATGTGTCGTCGATTAGTTTTACATACTTCAATTCTGATTAAATAACATGATAATAATATGATTCGTACTGCTTCAATTCTGACTGAATCAGGGTTCTTCAGTTGATGCCATTTGATCTGATTTAAATGCTAGTTTGAACGGTCATTTGAGTTCGAATTGAATTGGTTATAGCTGAAAGATGTAGTATAGATTAAAGGGTTTAAGGTAGGACATTAAGTCACAGGGGTTTTCAGGGGTATTTTGGGGTTTTAAAGGGTTGAAAGGGCTAGTGTTAGTGGTCTGACCATGAGGGCACTTAATTGACCATAAAACTAATATTTTGTCTAGTAGTAGTGGCTTGGGAAACATAATAGCATGGGGATTAATGGAATATTATAAGTTGCCCATGCCTTTGGTTCAAGACACATGATAATGGGCTGTAAGAGAATATCATGGGCAAAAAGATGGTGGTGGTATTAGTTTAATTGCTTTTGAGAGGGGGAAGGGTCTGTTTTTTGGCAGATAAATAGAGCAAGGTTTAGACATTAAGAGAGGACCTTTTTTGGGGAATAGGCAGAAAAGGTGGAGAGTCAAAAACAAATAGAAAAGTCCAAAGATTGGCACACACTGTCTGACTTTGAAAAAGATTGAGAAAACCTACTGTGGCATTAGTTTCCTGAAGTCAAATTAGAATTCCAGTTGATGAGTTGCATGTTTTCTAGCTTGATTTCTGACTGTGAGAGTCTCAGAGGTTCCCTGGTTGGTCTTCTAGTGATTTTGGGTTGATTCAGGCTTGGTTTTGAGTCAGTTCTGGTAACTCTGTTTGGTTTTACACACTTCTGGATTTCTGGTTCATCACTTGGGTCCATTCGTTGTTCCATATTACTGGGCATTGATTACTGCTGTAACTGCTGTTGCATTATTGCTGACTGTTCTTTCTCCTCTTCCTTTGTTGCATTTCTCCAGGTACACATTTGAACTTGTTCTTGGTGTAATTTCTCCAGTGGAATGAAAAGGCAGTTACTGTTTGACATTCATTAAAGTTTACTGTTTTTTTAGTTTACTATGATACAGTCAGCTTTAAGATTTGTATGGTAAGTTTGTGCCTTAACGCGCCTGTAGGGATTAGTTGGGTCATTACATGTTATATACAGCTTTGTAACCTGTGGACAATGGGTACCTGCATAATTAGGATTGTTGTTTGATCGATTTGAGTTGTTTTGAATGGTGATGGACCGTTAACTCTAAATATGTAACTTATTTCTGATGGAATCAAGTCCAAGGTGACAAATAGTAACTGTTCGAGTTAATTGCTCANAATTGCTTTTGAGAGGGGGAAGGGTCTGTTTTTTGGCAGATAAATAGAGCAAGGTTTAGACATTAAGAGAGGACCTTTTTTGGGGAATAGGCAGAAAAGGTGGAGAGTCAAAAACAAATAGAAAAGTCCAAAGATTGGCACACACTGTCTGACTTTGAAAAAGATTGAGAAAACCTACTGTGGCATTAGTTTCCTGAAGTCAAATTAGAATTCCAGTTGATGAGTTGCATGTTTTCTAGCTTGATTTCTGACTGTGAGAGTCTCA